AAGGTGAAAGATGAGAAGAAGCGTTTTAATCGAGAACGCAATAACCTGCAGAACAGACATAATTTTGGTAAGTAAAATCAAATATAACCGGCGAAAATGCAACGTTAACTCGCCCTAATAAGATGCCTACCGTGTAGGCTAGCAATAACATTTCACGCGTTTCTTGTTTTCGCCCGTTTATTTTGCTTTCATTTAGGGGGGAATGTACAACAAACCTGATTTCACATTTATGAATTGCATTAATATACCATGCCTTTTGAGAATGTTTGTGCCAAGCCAAACAATATTGAGCGACTGGATTATGCAGGTGCACTTGGCTTTGTTAGATCGTTTGAGAAAGTTATTATACGCTTTTTCATCTTAACGCATTTTACACACTAATCATCTACAAACCGTACTCATGTCGTATAATTGCGTTTCCTTTCAGTCAAATAAAAAAAACTGATATTTTCTAAAGCAACCGAGCTTTTTCAGTAAAGATAATAACTTTAATACACCCATGGATTGGTGCTATCATACCATGCGCGTTAACAATTTAACGTCTCATACCTCGCAAGGTACTAGAAAGAATACTTCCTATACATATTTTTTTTTCGTTTAATTTAGAGGGGCATAGCCTTCAGCATAGCTTTTTCAGTGACGAAATCATTTACCTGTGATAGGTAATAAAAACGCCCGACCTTTTCTAAAAGAGGTCTCAGTCTAGAATCCTCAGACAACTTGCGGCTGATGTTGATGGTGGAAGAAACGTTTTCCTATTTAAACATCTGCAAGATCAATGCATATTTTTGTTTCCCATTCAAAAACAGCTACAGTTACGCTTATTTAAGCAAACGAAGAGGCCTGATTTCAACATAAATAGCACTGTATCCCGGCACGAAATAGTTATTGATTCTATTCACTTCCTGCTACCTGTTTTGTTCCCTCATAATCATCGTTGATATCAATTTTTATTGTACTTCTTACATTATTACTTAGGTAAATATAAATTTTGGTGAGAAACAAAACATGACATAACTACAATTTTTACAAGTGATAAAGTTACCTTAGCCATAGATTGCTGTGTAATAATTGGATACATGAATAAAGCTGTCAAACAGTAATAATCAAGACTCTGATTTTACTTATACAAAGTAGACTCCTTTGACACAGTTAGTGGAAGTCACTATTTACGAGATTCTTTCTCTGAAAATTAAGTTTAATCTTTACTAATGCGAATGAAGGTATGGACACGGAGAAAGAAGGTTAACTTATCACCTTATGAAAACCCTTTCATTTTCTTAAACCTTTTTTAAATCCAACGGTGAAAAACATTTAAAATGTCCGTTCAATGACATTGCAATATACTAATCTCCTGCAAGTGTTTATTTAACATCTAAAAATTGTCACTTGTCTACATGCATGAACTAACTGCGAACCTTTAAATGGCTAAATACCTTCCACACCAGGTGCGACCTCAAAAATCACACCGTGGTCATCATAAAAAATGACCAGTACTTGTTTGGAGGATACACTGATATTTCTTGGGGTAAATTAAACTTTCATATATTTCAGCGAAAACCGGATTATTAACCTTAATATAAAATAAGTAAATAAGTGAATAGAACTTTCGTATAACACATTTTCGAGACTTTCCAGTTACCAACGTTGACAAGAGGGGAGGGTAGAAATTTCTTCAACGATTGAAAAAGCTGGTTTTATATAATTTCAAAACTTAAATACTATTTTCTATGTTTACATTGGTTGGAGAATGATGACTCAGAAAAGCATCCTGTCACAACCGTGGGACAAAGAGAAAATTAAGAATTCCCAAGAAGAATCTATCGTGAGACCTTCGGACTCCGCACGTGCACACCAGTGCAGTTCAACTGAGACACAGAGACTACGATGAGATCACTCGGTTCACATGTGACACAAATCCCGCATAATGCTAGAATCAGCAATATAGAAATTCTCTTCAGTGTGAGTTAACTGAGAAGGAGGGCTGGATTCACCATTTATT